AATAAATCCAATAGGGCCAATTTTTGAATAAAAATTGAGACTTTTCGTAATTATTTTCTCCATTCCAGCGCCGCATTTCACGAGTTTGGGTGGACAAACCCTGTGAGTGAGTACTTTGGTACTATTTGAATGACAACATAGCCGGGAACAGGCATGCAGCTTTACTGGGATGAACGTACTGTCTCGCTAGGAGAGCGCGGACGAGCAGCTCTAGTCCGCGCCCACAGCTACGACGTTTTTTCCCAATGAATAAGATTTTACACAAAATTTAATGTTAAACGGAGTTGCTCTTACCGGGTCCGATTGTTAGGCCGAGGGCAAAACTACCAGCGCTTAGTGAAATTGATCGCGAACGATCGCTTACTGTGCTAGCAATGACGGCGTACGTTCGAAGAACGGTGACCATTCCTGAAAACTTGGAATGAAGTTGAAACGCAAAAACATGTTTCGCTTTGTTGAAGCAATATCGTATTGAACATGTGTCTATACTGCTGTGTAGCTCAGGTTTCTCACCGAAGAACCACTGAAGCCTGTTCTCCTTATCGATGGAGGTAGTGGTAAGCATCTATTACTAACTACAGAAGCTCCTAGCGGAGCACGTCGCCCTCTGGGAGTCCCCAGAAGGGGGAAAGGGTCGCTTTCCTCAAAAAAAAGACCAACGATGGGACGTGCCGTGCCTCCTGTGCTACACTCGTGTGGACTGTGTCCATTCCTTCACTACGAACACATGGCGAAGCCACACGCCGTGCTCGTGCGCTGATTGAGTTAATTGCAGTTGAGCCAACTCTGTTTGTCTCTCGATATGTTAATGAAGACGACGCCACTGGACAAGTTCAGTCGTACTATAGACTGTCGCACATCACAGCAGCGTAACTATTTTGTCCCATTTCGTCGGTCCATCCTTTCTGTAGGCTTGGAAGGCTCCTAAAGAAGCGATGGTGCTTTACAGAACATGGAATCAGATTTCATGGGCGATGTCTTCGAAGGCACATTACACGGCTACTCGAAACGTGGGACTTCTATCTCTAAGGACAGCAGGATCGTGGAGTGCACCTTCGTTACTCAGAGGCACGCCAAGAGTTTGTAAAGGGTGGGCGTCGATGTCTACTGGTCTTCACGGAAGCTCAATCGCTGCATTTTCGTTCGCTTTTCCACCGTTCGCCGTCTGCTTTCCCATTCGCGTGTCTGGTGTTTCTGTTGACACGCTCACAGAGATCAAATCTAACGCAAGAGTAGGGCCCCATCTAGAATCTCTTGTCCACTCCGACGGATTCCTTGTTTCATTTTCCTACGGGACATTTTTGCACCCCCACGTTCGTAACCGAATCCCATTACACATATTGCCTTACGCAATGTGCCTCTGAAACACAACTCGTGGATCCCCCTCTCGCGACTATCAAGGCAGGTCTGCAGCGAAATGTTCCCCTTGTGACTATCAAGGTCTGCAACCTATGCTCATCTCTTGCTGAGGGTTTTCATCCATGCAGTTTTTCGAGATGGACTGTTGCATGCTGGGGCGGCCGTATTCCTAGAAAAAGAGCGTTTATTCATCTGCCGCTATATCTCGAACGCGACATTAATTGGATTTTATTTCTATCCATCCAGGAAAGGTCTGGATAGTTCAGTTAAGTTTGATCTCGCTGCCCGTTCGTTGTCTAGCACCAAGGAATGTGATGCGTACGGACCACGCTGCGTTGTGCGCGACAAATAGCGCATACCGTGCACCAAGAAAGCGCGTGCTCGCGGTGGCCACCTCTAGCACAATGCATTTTCTGTGATCTGTCTAACAGAGCACCACTCCGTAATTCGAACATGAAAAAAAGCTTGACAGTGGGCTCTCAAGAATTGCAACTTTTATATGATTAGGGATTAGTGAATAAGCTTAATTGACCAGCGACTCAAATCTGTGCAGGTTTGCCTACAATAAAATTACTACGTGAACTTTCTAATAGTACAATTGAGACGAAATCCAAGAGCCACGGCGAATCAGATCTTACTAGGCTGAATGAGCGTGAATTGAAGACAGTTCTCGAGATAAAGTGTCATGGATAGTAGCTGTTCAGTTATGAAACAGTAGCTGAAAAGTAATTCCCCTAAAGAAGAGAAAAGCAAGAGGAGTCCTCAAGAACACTGTGAACAAACGCTTCCTGACAGTCACACCGCACTGCGGTCTGTGTGCAACCCCTGGCTCACAAATCGCTCTATGGCACCTCCCAGTAGTGGATATCATCCAATGCAAAGAAAAGAATAAGAAAAACAACAGAACCACCGACGGAAAACTCTTGACAAAAAGAAACTTTCAAAAACTCGGCGTGAGAATTTAGGGTTAGGTCGCGTGCATCTTTTAGTGCGTCGAGCTTTTGCACTGAGAAAATTGCATCAATTGTGATTTTTACGCGTTTTACCTTGCGCGATGGGTTGCAGTTGACTTTGTGTGCTCCTAGTGAATAAAATGTAATAAAGTATAATTACTATGGGCTTGAGCGCGGTCAGCAAAAAGGACATGCAATTCTGGCTGCCGCCCCAACAAAACAATGAGCGGCCCTCCGTCAGAGGGCATCTAGCAAGTAGGCGGTCCAACTGAGCGGGCGTCAGAACTAGAAGTTTCAGCGGCTGTAGTACGCTCCTCGCTGGCTGTGGAGTCGCGAGAATGGGACAGTTTCTTAGCATGGGAGCTGAACTACTTGCCCAAAAAAGGACGACCATGAATTACTTGAGCGAGGAAGCTGTCTTTAGAACAGAAATGATCACTCTCCACTTCGCTAAAGCAATGACAAGGTAGACCATCGCGAGCGTGCGCTCTCCCGCAAGCATAAGGTATCTGCAGTTTGCCGCACACGATTCCACGTGATCCTAGAGCTCTCTCCCGTCTGCACCTTTTGTTCAAATATTAGCAAATTTTGGGTCCAGAAAACAAAAGCGATTTCTGTCTTCAAAGTCGATATGAATTAGCAGTTAGGCTCATTCAGTGCAGGCGCCGACAATAAGAAAAGGGTATTGACATCGTGGTCACTGTAGATTGGGCGAAATTTCAGCGCAAAAATTTCCGGCACTTCCCACATTTTACTGCTCCAGTCTACGGTTCGGGTCAGGACTTCAATTTCTTAAGAAATGGTCCCTATTTATAAACTGCATAATGTTGTGTTGAGGGTTACTCCCGCGCCTATTTCTTTCATGAACTCTTACTCGCCTTTGGAAGTCCTTTAAAAGTGAATAGTACTCACCAGCTCCGAGCCCTGTGATGCTACGCGCTATGAACATAACCCATTTCGGTGGATACGAAGTTACTCCACACAACAGATAGGTAAGGTTTCCGCTACACATTATCAAAAGCCTGGAAATAAAGGTCATCACGGTTTATCCTGAGCTGAGAGTGAGTTTTAGCAGTTTTGTTCTTTCTCGATTTTGGATCCCAGTGACAACTTACCACCAGAGCTAATTAACCGCCTAACAACTGCTGCTAAATAAATAAAAAAGTTATCCAGAAGTGCAGACCGGCGAGATGAATTATTGTGTTGGTGTAAAAGTAAGTATTACAGTGTTTTGAAGATACAGGAGGATGGGTTTCAAAAAAAGGAACACTGCCGTTGAAACATGTGATCAACATGATTGAAGTTTGAAACTTGAAATAAAGCGCTCAAGCTCTGAAGCTCTGAACAGGCAGTTTGTACTATGTATTAGGTTGGTCGGAAAGTTCTGTCACATTTTTTCAAATTAGACTTTCTTTTAACAGAGAGGCGTACAAGATTAAAATATACAGCAATGTTATTGAGAGATCCTTGCCAGTTTTTGGACAGTTCGTGGATGCCGTCGCTTAACAATGCACGCCGGCGCGACGCAAAGTTGGACATCATCTCAACTTTGACTGCTCAAGTCGTGGGGTTTTCTCGGCTGTATAACGGTTGAATACGAGAGGCGACTAGCAGTCAGAAAGAGAAATGTTCTGGACTACACCTGTGCAAGGGGAGAGCCACCAGCTCTATTGCATGAAGTACGGCTCAACTTTTTTTGACGGGGCACACTGAAGACGGACTGTGCGATGGATTTTGCCCTCTGCTTGACGATTCGCTTAACATCTCGTAGCTGCCTTGAGTACGGATTGATCGAGGAGGCAGCTTCTTCATCTAGTGGTTTCCGACTCACCGCTATCTAGAGCTGAGCTTACAGGTAACCCCGAACCTCACTTCGTCATTCGAACCGTGGGCTCCCGCTCTGAAGAGCTAGCGTCGTGGAAGATTGTCTGATGACTGTAGACATTGTCCTTGTGCAGCTCCATTATTTCGGCGTCGACAGCTGCCATGCTGGCGCCAGGGTGGTAGAAGAAATAGTTCAAGGAAGCGCTTGAAGGGTTCGGTGCTGAAGGTAGCGGATAACATTGTTGTTCATAATGCAGAACAAGGATGAGCAGGAGCCGAGCCAGTGACACTAATAGAAAGATAAATCCTTATAAATGCTCACATTACCGGTTAGCCTTCTTCAGGTAGTAGGCGAATACTTGGGTTCAAAAAAGTATGACAGAACTTTCCCGCCAACCTAATACTAATTACAGTTCCTAATTACACTGTACTGATTGATTAATTATTAACTGTACTGTGCACTAATTACGACTGCATCGTTGAGACTATCATCACTAGTAGGTCAGTTAGCATCAACGAGTTTAAATCGGGACCCTACTGCCAACGATATTTGATTGTAGTTTGTGTCTTTGAAGTCAGCTCGCACGAAAAAAATGACGTCATGGTAGCGGAAGGTCTTACCCTGCGAGTATCGGTATGCGGCTCTGTTTGATGCGATTCTGCCAATAGCCAAAGGCAACACACATTATTGCTTGTCCAAGACTGTACACAGCAGTGATCCATCCAAAAAATGTCTCTGTAGCATCGGGATCGAGCTGAAATGCAAGATCGTAGTAAGCAATGCACAAACTGGAGGTCATTTCTTTGAAGAAATTCTGGCGCTACTGTAGTTGTGTGGACAGAAGGGGTAGGCACGAGCTAGAACCTTATTCTGAGGCTCAGTCTGGGGGGGGACACCACCTGTCTTTGTGAGAAGGCGCAGAAGAACAACAATTGCTTTGCGTCGCTCTTCTTTGCCACTCTTCCAGCCGGATATGCGGCAAGAGAATCGTACTTCGTCGCGCCTGTGGGCGTCGCGTGCGACGTCGCGCCCGCTAATAACAACGGTTTCAGGTGGTATTGGTCGAAAATAGTGTGGTCAAAAATAGACATAATTGTTTACCATTTCCTTTTCTCTACATGAAATCCGATGCTTCAATCGGAAGGGCTGCGGAAACTGAAGGGATGTCGCGCTCATAGCCGTGCGCGACGGAACGGCGATTTACGTTTTTCTTGCCCGTCTCCCTTCCGACCAGGGTACAGCATTGTTGTGTGAAACACATGGCGTCGTACTTGCCGCTGGAAATGGGGGTCGTACTTGACCACTGGAGTGGGGGGGGGCTTTCGAAAGACATTCCCTTCTCCACCCACCAGTTGGTGATGCCCCCAAGGATCTTCATAACTACTAGATCCCTTAGTTGAAAATAGTCGTCCACCTTTCCCCTTCTTCCCCCCCCCCGTATCGGCATTTTTTGGGGAAAAAGTGGCAATGGAAAAATTTCGGAGAAAACTGGTAGGAAGTGGTAACATGAAGGAAAAGGGTAGGTAGGTGTTGGGAAAGTGGGGCGGGGGTCGCACCGAAACACTCTTTCAGGGTGGTCGTACTGACACCACCATTTCACACATCACTATGCTGTGCCCTGCCTCCAACTACATACGGTAGCGCCGCAATCCATTGAAGGTTGAGTGATTCATTTCTCATAAGCTGCTGATCCAGATTCAACGAGTCTCGCGAAAGGTAGAATAGCACAATTTTTCTATCTCGAAAAGCCGTTACTCTAAAAGAATAGGTGTTCCTCAGCCAAAGGCGCTCATCCCCGGCTTAGAATTTTTCAAGTTGCAGCGTTTGATTTTTCCGATCAAATGCTGCAACTTGTGAAGACATCTGGTCATGATTGTCATGATCTCTCACGTCTCTCACGATTATCATGAGTTTTAACAGCTTTCCGTCTAAGGCTGAATTCGTAGAGCGAAACTATAGCAGCTAAAGCGTGAAATTCCCCGTATTAAAGTCGGAATCAGCTCGAATCAAATGGGAAACGACCACCAGGACAGCTCTAAAATGATGACCAGCGACGAAGCTATAGGATAAATAGCGCGTAAGAAGATGCAGGCTAAAATTAATGTGCAAAAAAAAGACAATTTATTCATACATGAGCCTATAGCAACAAATCACATATTTTCAAGTCATACTGCTGTAAGCTGCTGACCACTAGCAGTTTACAGCAATATGACAATAGTCTAAGACTGCGAGTTCTTCAAATGAATGCCGTTATTTCTAGGACATTCAGTTTTTGAAAACACATTTACACTGGTGATTTTTTTGACCAAATTTCGCTTACTAAGGAGTTTTATTAAACGACACAATCTGAAGCGATACGCCCTTTCAGCTCTGGAGTCCCACCCGAGTTTTTTTTGATGTTCACTGAAATTCCTGATTTTCACGTTTTTCTCCACCGTTTTTGAATATTTCGCCATCAGATAGAATCATGATCAATGCAAACGATAGGGCATGTGAAGAGGCGTGAACTGGAGTGCAGCCTGAGCAGTTTTCCCGCCAATCATCGCCCGTTGCCCATAATGACATCATTGGTGGAAAAGGAAGCCTTGGCGGCGCTCCAATCCACGCATCGTCACACGCCCTATCGGCCCATGACTGTACATTTAAGCACACCTACAAACTATTCGAATGTGTCTCACCAACATCCGCTACAACGATCCGCCCATTCTGAAGTATCTGATGATCTTTTGCGCTAATTCGAAAATGCAACAGATTTTGTGAAGAGCCAATAAAAATCATAATTTCTCTAATCGGCTATGTGACCGTGATAATGACAATAACTTACTTGCAGAAGATATGGCCATAACGAAGAGAAATAAATGGTAAATTGTATGGCAGTGAAAAGTGAAATCACGCTCGCGATAGCCAACGAACGCCAGTCGGTGACGTCCTCATCGTCGGAATTATTGGAATTGTCACTGAAACTTTTAATTTCATATGAACGATGCAAAAATGCTTCCAAGGACTCAGAGTTCTGCGTTTCGCGAAAATTAAGCCCCCTGGTTAGCAAAAAATGAATTTAATCATGTACGTCCGTTTTTGCACATTTTTATACGAAAAATCTTTGACGATTTTCTCCAAGCCAGTAGTATTGCATGCAGTAGCGAAAAAAACCTTAAGATTTCGAATAGTATTTTGAACGATTTGAACCTACTTCCTCATTGTACAAACAGTCTGAGAGGCAGTAGCTAATTGTAAGACTACAATGTAAAGGAGCAAAGTGACAAAGTATTATCCGTTTATCTATCTTTTTGCGATTCGGTACGTATTCTACTCCCGCTCAGAGTAGCACTGGCTCATTGAAGGTGATGAGGCCTGTACAATGCCCTCCTGGTGCAAGCCTATGTGCAAGTCAGTGCACTCATCCTCCGAGGCAAACCTTGGAATACTTCGCCGTCACATGAGGGTAGAAGGCTTGGTTGCCCGGACAGGGAGCCGAACGGGGATCTAATCCCCGGACTGCGTGCATGGCACCGCGCCGCTAGCCACTACACGACCTCCACCCTTCTAGAAATACAACGCTTTGATATAATAATACACCGACGAAGAAAGTTTTGTCCTTCAGGCCTGTCCTGTCCCTTCATGATGAAGTGAAGTTTTACAATATTAAAGGCGTATGGCACGATGATTTAGTAGTTGGTCTAAAATACTAGCATAGTGCTATATAGCGGGGAAAATGGCGGAAAAACCAAGTGAAGCGGTTAAAGAACCTGCGAAGAAAAACCTTTGTTCTCAATGACCCATAAAGTAATTTTGGACGAGTTTCCCATTAGGCATCGTGCTAATAGCCGCAACGGTAGTTACGTGTGCATCTATGTGTTTTTATTATATATCTATGCGGCAGCGCGCCTGCTTCATAACACTCCATTCGTTTCATATTTTACTTCGCAAAAGAAGCAGTACAAGCATCAGGCACGGCCGTCCATTTGTGGGCGGGCGGGCGCGTTAGGCGTCCGGGTCGGTATGTTGCAGCTTGATAGGGCGCTTTAGAGGTACCTTCCATGGAGAAGGCGCTTTGCACCGCCTACTTAGGGGCGCGGAATTCCGTCTTGCCAGGCGTCTTAATCCTAGTCGTCTTAGAGATTTTTCTTGCCAACTGCCTTGAAGCCGGCCCTCACAGTACTTGAAATGTTCGTCGGCGCACACAACAGCATGGCTGACGATCATGGGTTAGTCCTACTAGGCTGCCCGAACAAGGTATCAGGCCTGCCTGGACGTTCTTTCTTGCTGTCTAGGTATTTTCATTCAGCTTTCCATTCTGAATACTCCTCAGTTTTGTGTTGTTCCCAGAGCCTTACAAACTCAAAAATCGATCTTGTCACAACGTGGAGGCGGACTGCCCTATTGCAGTGTTCTTCGTCATTTGGTCCCGAAAAGGACGTTAATCAAGCAACCCGATTTTATAGTAGCTTTTTCAGGTCTACTTAATTTGGGCAAACAAAGGCTTCAGAAGCAAGTAAAAAAAATTCTGAAAAACTAGTAGAGAGCGCGGAACCCTGGCATGCTCCAAGCTGCTTTTATCCGCTGTTGTACATACAAGTAAAGGAATGTAATCGAAACTATTGACTTAGATATGCTAAAATGAGCTGAGAAGTACTAAACTATGAGGTTACTGTCGAGTCTAGGAAGGTACTATCAACTACATCTTTTCTCTCGGAATCCTAACGATTGTTTGGGGCTAGCTGGGCGCTCAAAAATGAGAAGTGCCACTTCTTTTTTTTCATAAATTGTTGCGTAGTTTTTTTCCGCTCCAAGCTTTTTTCTTCCTCATGCTCAGAAACAAGAGGCAGCGGCTATGAAAACGGTGGGTAAAAGGAAATTAGTGTGCTAGCAGATGTGGTATGCTACCGAAAGAAAGTACAAGTCCAGAACGAGGACCTATAAAAGTCCTGTGATGTGAAGAAACAGGCGAAGACGGTTCGTCACATGAGCGTCATTCACACCAGAAAGTACTGAAGCATTTTTTATACCCACATTATCATTTTTTATGGGCTACCTGTGGGCTCATACAAACATCAGCCAACGTAACATATATAAAACAAAGTTTTTCAGCTAGCCAAGAAGTACTTATTTGTGAGCTTTGCCGCTAGGATGACTCCTGCGCTGCAATGAACTTTTGGCCGTCATTACAGTACTGGGGTACCTTCGGGTGGATTACCCGGAACACGTGCTGATTGAATAAAACATTTATGAGAGGTTTACTGTCCCGGTGGGCGGGGCTACTTACTTCATTTGAAAGTGGGGTGGCCGCTGTGCTTTTGGAGTGGGATATTGTCTTTCGAGAAATTACACTCATGTTCAATTCCAACACAAGACAGGATGGCAGTTGCTTCGAATAAGGTATCCCACCAATAACCCATCCTACTCCAGGAAGTACGCAACCACGCCTACCGCGTGTCGTCGATGTGTAGTAAACCAGTGAGACGTGACACATCTTTACTCGACTAAACCCTCCAGTAGACACCCTGTTGTAGAGAAATTGTGAAATATAAAGGAATAAGGGCTCAAGAACTTCTTACCTTATCACTTTCGACTGCATCAGTAGAGATTACAGAGTCGATGTGAGTGATCGCTGAAACCAGTCAGTGACAACCTTTTTTGGGTGCGTATGTAGTTTGCATAATCATTCCTGCTCTGCGTAGACTGCCCTCACTGATATAAACAATCTCATGATTTATGGCGTCAATGACAGCAATGTTCAGAAATCACAGTTATGACCATCGCCAAACTTCCTCTATCGAGGGATGAACCCTCAAGTGTACATAATAGATATCGATTAGTCACCATGTGCCGTACGAGCGTAGTATATTCACAATGATTAGAAACCGACTACTGCGGCTTTTCTATATGCGCGCCACGTATCCTTTTCGTTCTCGTACACGGAGGCTTCACTGGATGTCTATGAAACACGTCCAGCTCACGTACTTTTCCGTAATGGTCACAGGTCACACTGGCACGGTCTTGGAGGCAGTCGAAGCTGGAACAATTGGCTTGCGTTTCAGTTGATCGATGGAACCTGACAAATCACGTGAGGTACAGTGATGATCTCTGCAAACGATAGAGCGTGTGACGAAGGTGCCGTTTAGAGCGCAGCCAGGGCTGGTCCCCCACCAACTATAGTCGGCTGAGGATGGCATAATTGGCGGAAAAAGAACGCCCTGGCTACGCTACACTCTACCGCGCGTCGCACGGCCTATCGTTTGCAGGGATCATGACAGCATATTTAGGCGCTGTTCAGCTTGAAGGGGGAGGGACATCTGTATCCATATGGGGCAACGATGGGAACGGCATTATATGCCAAGTTGATCCACCATTTTTTCCTCCTTTCAAATTTTTTTATTCCAATTTCATTTTTTGGGCTGACGCTACATGAAGCGGTTGGCGCAAAAAAGGCTCGGCCGGTGCAGGAGGCATTAATAGAGTCCTCTGTCGACCTCCTATTAAGCGAAAGTGACTGCAAACGAGCAAATCCATTCAGGGGAGGTTGGGGATAGTGCTCAAAGCTCCCGGCCAGATGAGCCAGTTCTTATGAAGATGGAACCGTTTCCCCACAAAGCGGTCCATCATCCCTCTATACAGGTATTTCGTTCCTACTAGGCCCAGGCACTTCCCACCCAACTCGAACAAAAATTGACTAAGGACGGCGTGTCAGCTCAATCGGAACCGACGACCGAGCAAACAGTTATTCGATCCTCTGCAGATGTCACAGTGTGACTTGAAGACGCCATGAAGACGTTTTAAACAAATGGGGACTCCCTTCGAACATCAACACGTTGTCAAGTGACATTTGTGCATAAAAAGAAGACAAACTTTAGGGCGAGGGTCCGCAATTTTTCTTGTTTTTTTACGTTGCTCCAAGCTTCCCGTCAGACTAAGTCAACAAGGCTATAATCATAGATTCTGGGGAATCCCTCGACTTATTCTTCAGGCAACAAAGCAATCTAAAATAAATCTTCGGGATTTTAGTCGAGGTCACCACCACAAGTGAACCGGGGATTATTTTTTGTGAATAATGATGGACGCGCTGCATGCCCATTTCGGCTCGTTTTGCTATGAAAGCCTGTCGCAGAGCCTAAGAGGGTCGTCAAGAGTGCCTTTGGAACAGTAGTTCCACTAGTTGAATGTCCAACTGCTCCTCTGACTTGAACTTTTGAAGCCAACGAGAGCAGTGAGGGACTGGAGAGGGTGCATGTGACAGATCCGAAGCTCGGTAGTGTCACCTTCCATGTAATGAAACTCTCAGAAGCACAGTCCTAGAAGAGCCTAACGACTCCAGTTTGTGCCTGGGCAGCCTGGCCTTCTCCTGTTTCTTCGGGGAGGCGATTTTCTGTGAGTTCTTGCTCTTCCTGGTTGTCTGGAAATCTTTTATAGCCAAACCATGGGTTGTCACTTCAGGTAACAATTACATCTTCAAGGTGGCAGAGAGAATAAGGACCGTTACACGCTTCTGGGGCTATTTTCCAGCACCTGATTACTCTATCCTTGCGGCGGCTACGGCGATCGTTTATGGGGGAGACAAGCTCTAGCTCGAAGTCCTCTTTGAGCGCTTTCTTCAGACTTTGCAGCAACTGATGGGGGAGGGTTTTCGTAAAGGGCGGTATGGGGATTTTCAGGTGCTTTGAACAGCCCTCAATGTGAGACACACCATTATTAGTACAGGCTGAAGCTGAGCACTTTTGCCTTGTCCACCAACAATTACCAGCTGTCAACTGGTTGAATAACTAACATGAAGAACTTTCCACTTCATCTAACATTCGGCACTGTTTGCCCTTTACTAGCTCATTTTCAAAATGGAGGTTACGTTAATATTGAAGTTTATCAAACGGGACATATTCGGCCAAAAAAAATGTCCCTACAGGTAGGTAGCACGAATGTCACATCTATTGGTAGAGAAATTGTCACATCTAGTCACGATTCCTGCAAACGATAGGGCGTATGAAGGGCGTCTATTGGAGCGCAACCAGAATAGCCTTTCCCACCGAGTTTCGCGACTCCGAATGACATTATTGGTGAAAGAGGTCGCCTTGGCAAAGTACATACCAGTCCACTCCCCCTCACACGCTCTCGTGTACACTCCTTATCCCTGACCAGAGTAGGCGTGGCATTTGAACATGGCACGGAATTTATTCGTGGAATATTCCAGTTCGGGCAACTTTCGTCTTGTCCTGTGTTGAACAGAGATACGACAACAATTGTGTCAAGATGAAAATTCTCACCAGGAGCATAAATACCTTCAGGCGAAGTTGGAACATACAGCCACGCCCACCCGACCTCAGGGATTTTGAGTATACGTAGGTGCCAAGGCGAATCAGCTTCCCCACACTCGCTGAAAAAGGCAACTTGACCTTCTGGGCGAGAAATCGCGTCATCAGCCAGTTACAGAAACACGAGCATATTTCGATAAAAACTGTACAGGAGGATCAAGTACAATGTCTGTTTGACACGCACGCATGGTGCTCACGCCACAGACAAATTCGCCTAAACCCGATGCTCGCTGAGAACATGTGCACTTAGCTTGACCTTTCACTGGAGTTCACATTTCTGAGGGTGATTTGTGTCACAATTGTGAGCCTGACCATGCTCTGACTTCCTGCACACGAATATAAAAGGCTATGCAGCCTTGTTCGCTGAAGATGATGGGGCGTGTCAGGGGGGAAGTTTGGCGCGGCGCCAGATCTTCCCTTTTCCTCTCCACAAGAGACATTTCGTTCATATCAGTCGTTTTCCACCAATTATTGTCGCTTACAAATTTAACAATTGGTGGAGAGCGAGTTGGCGAAGTGGCAGACCCAACCTCACTGACACGCCCCATCATCCGCAAACAAACTGTCTATTTGGCTCAGAAACACCGTGCCCGCTCAACAATCTGCGACTCAGAAGGAGGCCTGCGACGCAGACGCATGTACTAGGGTGGCCGCCTGGCATATTTATGTCGAACAAGTAATATATTTGCATTCTGAAGTCCGAAATATCCTCGGAGACAACTTTTTGGCTGAACGTGCCCTTAAGGACAATATTCAAAAAAATTGACCCCAATTTCCGAAAAGTTACGCAGTAAAGGGCAAATATTGCCTAACATCCAAATTCGACTATTTGTCAAGGCAGATGACATTAACATTCGCCTGACCACCCTGTTGTCTTCGTATAATCCATTCTAATCTAAAATTTTTTAGCATTGATAGTATTGTGAAGGTAAGATGGAGGTATGATCTTGAGGACTCTTTATTATTCAGAACCCCTTCACTATTTACACTCCACTGCCCCAATCTTGAGCAGTTAGTTCTTTACCAACTTTTTCTTCTCCTTGGGCACATTTGACTGGAAATGTCCCGACGGGTGGTTCGGCTTAGTGAACATGAATGTCACATCCACTTGGCCCGAAACCGTTTGGCGCCCGCGCTACAGGCCCCGACGAAAAAAAAACGTTACAGACGCCTTCATATGGTAGTTTTGATACGGGCGCGTGTAGCGCGGGATTCTGGGTGTTTTGTGCCAACTGAGATGCTAGGGTCACTAGAGAAACACGGTCAGACAATATATTTAGTTCCCTTTCTGGTCGCCTGATGAATTACTTTCCCAAAGCTCAGCCTTTGCAGAAGAAGGGGTTACTATCTCGGGGAAAGGTGCAGACAAGAGCAGCGGAATGTGCTCTCATGTGCATTCTTTTTCTCCCATTATATGCTCCACTAACACCCCATGCAAATGCTATATTCGTGTTCAGGAGGTCAAACTATCTCTGGGAACAAGTTTTCAGCGAATTTGGTCTCTTATAATGCTTTAGCGCGGGCGACTCCGGCGCGGGAGCCAGGTGGTTTCGGGCCAAGCGGATGGGATATTTGTGTCAGGAGGTCAGGCTTCGTCTTGGTACAAGTTTGCAGCGAATTCGGTGAGTCGGGGTATTTTGGCGCAGACGCTCGTGGCGCGGACGCCGGGGGGGGGCTTTAGGCGAAGCGGCTGTTATATCCGCGTTTAGAAGGTCGGACTTTCCTTGGATAGAAAATTCCAGCCAAATCTGCCCAATCAGTCCTGTAGGAATAATCATTAGAAAACTGGCCTGATTCTGAAAATTTGGGGCCGTAAAAGGTAGATAGTGTTGAAAGTCGTTCCAGAAGTCAATGGTCCTCAGTAAATGTAGTAAGATGGGAGGCAAATTGTTGTCGTTGATTGACGGCTTTGTTAGGAGCGTGGCGTCATTAGCATGGGGTAGAGTGAAGCTGGCATTAATATGGTCTAGCAAGCGTGTTAAATTGATAGCGTCGAGTGGTTTTGCAAGGCGTTTCGAGCCATTTGTTGTGTATCAATATGATGGTCGGTTCGACACATCCCCAGGGGTCATCATCGGCACTGATGTGCGGCGTTTTTCCCGAGTCATGCCCGAGGAGAATGTTGCGCAGGAGATGGATCGGTGCGGGCTTTGCTGATCCTGATGGCCGTTGTCATCATCATTATCCACTGGAATTCGTGGAGGTCTTGCCGCTGGTGTTCCAACTTCTTTCAGACTTTTAGCTTACCATATAGTTATCGCTGAGCTGAAGCTCT